TCTTCTCTTCTCTTCTCTTCTCTTCTCTTCTCTTCTCTTCTCTTCTCTTCTCTTCTCTTCTCTTCTCTTCTCTTCTCTTCTCTTCTCTTCTCTGCATAATTTTCAGGCAAAGCCAAAATAGTTGGTGAGTAGCTGGAGGGCTGTTAGTCAGACGGAGGGGTAGTTCTCCAGATGCTGACCACTGTCTGCTATAAAGCACAGAGCTGTCTGGCCAGCTGACTTTAATGACTGACGCAGAGATTACATAGGATCAAACGAAAAGGCGCAAACTCCCATTAGTGACATGCTGCAAGCCACAATCACATCTTTCATTGCTTTTCTTTTCTACTCATGTGTACAGACACAAGAAGAGATGCCAAGAAATTATTTGTTGCAGGAGTAATCAGCTGCTTTACATTTTCAGCTTCTGGCTCAGTACCTGTGCACAGGTGGAGAAGTTCAACCTCCAGATATTTTTTCTTGAGAAATTCAACACTGACTAACATTTTTTAATAGTATCAAGGAAACAATGCGGTGTTCCACAAATATCCTCCTTTAAATACACAAATCATCTGTTATACTTTTGTAAATCCTTAAATCATGTGGTTGGTTTCCACCATTAGTTAATGTCACGGACAAAACTGCTGATTTTAAGGAGCTACAGATGTTTATAAGTTTTGAGAGCCTTTTGGGAAGAAGAAGAAACTTTGGGGTAAAGAGAGAGAGAGATAGGCACTGAGAGAAAGAGCAGACTTTTCTGAAACCACACACACCTCAGCTAAGGAGCTAGCCAAACGCATAAACAACTTCCAGATGACATGGCAAACGGATCATCACATACACAGGCCCCCACACACAATGCATACACAGTTCATGGATGGAATGCCTCTGTTATTAACAGAGGACTCCTGTGGCAGCTGCTGTCACACACACTCCTGAGCCCGAGCACGAGCGACATCAACAAATAAAGCATAACCCCATTCTTTGAGCGAGCTGTGCTTTGTCTAGTAGGTTATGTAACACGAGGAAGGAAGCTGGTGTTTTCACATCTTTTCCTTCTTGTAGGGATCTGGAATATTATAAATAAACAGGATCCAGACCTTTTACTTAGCCTCATCTGTCTGCCAGCCTGCATCTGGCACAACCATACCTCCCTAATATGAGTGAAATCGTGTTGGGTGAAACTTCATAAGGTCCTCCATTTTCTCCACAGTTCCACTCTTCAGCAGCTTTTTTATTAGATTTTGGCTAAGGTAGAAATTTCTCACTCAGAAAGTGAAGGAGAGCAAGGCTGTCCTTCACAAAGGCACCAGGGCTTAGTGGATTTGCCTTTGTGCAGCCAGGCTGTAAGTGAACCAGCTTTATTTCAGAATGAACCACTGTGACGTAAATCATTGAACCCAAAGCTAGTTCTCTAAAATAAGACTTGCAGTTGTCACAACAGACCTATGGTGGATAAAGAGGACAATGAATGCAGCGGTGGATGAAAAGTAATCCAGTTGCTATGTTTCAGACATATAAGTGACATTGCTTGGTATTCAGGAACTTACCATGTTGCTATATGTGGAAAAGGATGCAGATCTCTTCGAACGCACCAGTGCAGCTATCTTGTTACCTTGTCCAAGGTTTGTCCAAGGTTTATGAGGGTGAGCATGGCTGAAACTGCTGGCACTTGAATGTAAACATATTTCATTTTGAAATGACTAACGTAGTTGTTTCTAACAGGACAGCCTCACGTTTCCACCAAACTGCATCTATTTCCTAAACTTAACCATGCGATCTAAACAAAGCTAAACCACAACATGTCACGTCATAAAAGAAGTTTATTGTTCAGCGGTGATTTGACAAGCGCCAAATGAGCCGTTAAATCAGAAAATCAGAAGCAACATACACAACGTTTGGGTTGTGTAACAGCAGCTGCAAAAAGTCAAAGCGTAAAGACATTTCTGTTCACAAAAAAACCCCAACCCCATGAACAAGGTATAGTGCACCAGTCAGTCCCTTTAGGGTGTATTTTCCTAAAGCTTAAAAAGGAAATAATAAGTTCTAACTTTGGTCCCGTTGGCTTGAAAAACGTGTGTTACTTGCCTCTTGATGAGGTAAATTCGCTCACATACCAGCCGCATGAAGCAGTGCCCCCATAAAATCCCCTAGCATTTAAAATTCATAATGTGTTAACATGTCCCTCAGAAGCACAATAAGCTTTGAGTGCACTGTGGGAGCCAAGCCACTTCATCCCAGCCATTACTAAGGTCACTACCCCAACATTTGCCTTCTTCTGTAGCTAATCTGGGTTTCCTCTGTCTGCTTTCTAAAACCATTAGTCACCCTATAATCCACAGAATTGTTTGCCATTTCATTTTCATCATTATCAGACATCTTGAAATGATAATCCTGCGGTTCTGCTGTGAATTCCCTTTGCTCTGGTGTGAAAAGGAAAGAAAAATGTTATGTAACAGGAGCCGAAATAGTGTTTTGGAACTTCTTGGAAATAACATGCGCTTCAGGATGGGGAGCATTATTAATTAGCCACAGGAGTTTTAATTCATTTTTAATAAAAGAAAGAAAAGGCTTCTTTGTGCACACAGACACACATAAAAAAATGAACAAAAAAAATCCCCTCTTGCCCCTGCGGGCGGTCTATCCTTCAAGCTCGGGTCCTGTACCAGAGGCCTGGGAGCTTGAAGGCCCTGCGCAGTATCTTAGTTGTTCCCAGGACTTCTGGACAGAGATCTCTGATGTTGTTTCTGGGATGTGTTGATGATTTGTGAACATCATTGTCACTGAGAAAAACTGTGCTTTACCTGCTCGGGAGACAAAAAAAAATTGTGAAAAAACTATTTGAACTGATTTACTAAACTAAATCTGCAGGAAGAGCCACATCTGCTCACCAGATCAGTGTGAAAGCATTTGCTTCTGTTTATAAGTCATTCCAGGGTATCAGAGAGACAAAGCTGATCTGGAAAAATATCAATGGTTTTTAAAGCCAAGGGCATAAAAAAATCAACAACCATGAAGGTCAGCTGACTGTCTACGTTACCTTAAAATGTGAAGTTGATGTTTGTCCTGCTGAACTGTTATCCTTCTTTTGGTAAATCTATCAAAAGCCATCAGGGCTTGAAAAGAAATGTGCTGGCATGAAACGAAAGACTTGAAGTGAGCTGTAAAACCAGCGGGGACTGGGATCGATACCGGTCTCTGTGCTGGGCGTCTCTGCTCGTAAACTCAGCAGCGTCTCTCCCACAGTTCTAAGCACTTGCACATATTACACACGCACACTAAAGCGACATAAGCCACTTTTTGTTTCCGTCACAGACTGACATTTATTTTTTCCGCATGGCCACATTTCACATTTCTTCCCAGAGTTTCTAGCGAAAGGAGAAATGTCAAGCAAACAACTGACGCTTTTCAAAACATAAAAAAATTTGTGCCGCAGGAAAATGAATCATTGCACATCAAAGCATGCGTGAAAATGTACAGTGCATGCTTAATAAATCAAAGGGAAAAAAATTACATGAATGCCAGCTTTAATATCGTTCTTTTTCTAAAAGGTTAGTATTTGCTTACTTCTTACATCTACTGCTGTGTGTATGAACACACGCACTTAAAAGAAGATGATGTAAGACTTATTTAGTGATGTAGGCATGCAGTTTGTGTTCAATACATATTTTGCAGTCATATGTCCTTCAAATAAAACCAATTTGCATGAAATTGCTGCATGTGTTTGAGTAAGAGAAAGAGGTGAACAGAAAGCTTCTGCACAGAATATCAGATGACTCTGCAGGTTCAGATTTTCTCAACTGAAGGTTCATTAACATCCTCAACAGTAGGTGCTTATTGATGGATCAAGAGGAGAAGGGAGGACAGAGGAGGGCAAGAAGGACTGAAGAATGAGAAGATGCATGACGAAGATTTCTGGGGGAGATTAGAGAGTGCCGCTGCTGAAGAGCAGCTATGATAAAAGAGAAGACAGAGAGGAGTGAAAGGGGAAATATAGGAAAAAAGAAAAGTGATGGATAGATGAAAGCTTACATCTGAGAGAAAGAAAAGGGAATAAATCTTCAGTTTGTTGTTATTTAAGCAGAAAGTCTCCTTGCCTCGAAGAAAGAGCAAAACGTGCACGTGTCCATACAAAATTGGAGTAAATCTCAGCAGCTGTTCAAAACGCACACACATTGAAAACTTGATTTTATCAATAGTGTAGTTTAAGCAAGCACAAGTATAGATATTTTCAAAAAGGTAACACACTCTCATCTCCAACACATGACTTCTAGAATTTCTTTTCTTTCTTCTTAAAGTTTCTCAAGGACAAAAAGTGTAAGCTCGGTCTATAACCAGCTGTTTTCTTGTGTACGCAGAATCACTGAGAACTGAGAGTCATTCAGACAAGAGACGGAGAGTGGCCTTCAACATGTACGCTGACTCACAGACAACAGGTACCGGCGGGAGATTGAGAGCTAATTCTTTGGCAGACATTTTCAAACGGCGAGAGTTTAAATATCAGCTGAAAGCAAAAGTGCAGGCAGATCCTGGCCAGTATTATAAAACTATCAGTACGCTCGTTATTGCTATTTGACTTGCTGATTTAGCAGCCTTACTAATGGCTGTGACTAAAACTTTAAAGACTCAAGGTAAATCCTTTAGCGCCCAATAAAGATGTTACCTCAGAGATTTTACTCCTTTGCAGACTCGTAACTCAGAAAACTTTAAACTCCAAGGCATGAGGCCGAGACATAATTTTAGACGCAGTGTGTTTTGTCTTTGTATGGTGTCCATTGCTTTTAAGAACACATCTGCTTGGAAATAATAGAAAAAAGATGGTCCTTTTAACTTTGTCTAAGTCATCCAGCGATGCTGTCTAGACATCCTTGGCTACAGTAGTAATAATAGTTAATTACAAAAATACTTAATTACAGATACTTTATTCAATGGAATAATAGAAGCAAATAAAGACAGGGCTCAAGTCTGGACCCAAAGCTAAATAAAAATCACTTCGTGCACCATAATAATTCCTGTTTGTTCCACTAAAGGCCTGTTGTTATGGAAACTGTGTTTCTGATCAGTGAAGTAAAACAAAGAGTGGGAGTTTTTAAAACTATAATTGCTTGTGTGGATGAGGTTATCTTGCAGCTCATATCACAGTTTTTTCAGCAGTTATTAAGAACAGATAGAGGTGTAACACTAAAAGACATTTCTGTACAAAAGATGTATGACTAAGCTGCTTTCTAATCATTCACTGTTAGCATAGCTGGGAGGATCGTTTGCCTCAGTCAGCTTTCCGTGATGTGAACAGCTTTAAACCACAACATTAATACAATTAGGAGCATTTCAATAAACAACATTTTTTTTTAACTATACAGAAACAGCTGTCTGTAACACATAATCAATTCTTGGTGGACATTATTGTTTGGGAGTAAAGCAGTGCTTTACTTTAAAAGGAAAACAATCTATCACATGAGGCTAATCGGTTCCTTTTATTTGTAATTCCTCATGTTTCTCAGTAGGAAATTGTTCAGGTTTCAGAACATGCCACAGATGGAAAACTAAACAGAATGCCTCATGACTTAAGCCAGGGGGCATGGAAAGATCCTCAACAATACAAAGCTCCCTGGAGTATATGAAGTCAGTTTCAGATGATAGTTGCAGACCCCTGAAAGCTTGTAACCCATCCCTGCTGTTCAAGTCTTTCTTGATTCTTAACAGTGTCCCCCCATGTAAAACTAGCTCCAACCTCCACACCACAATTATTCGTTTTTTCTAATGTTCTATCTTTGTGGTTTTCATCCACGTCTTCCCTTCATGCGCCTCCAGGCGTGACTGAATGGACATCTTGGTTCAACATTGACCATCCTGGGGGAAATGGAGACTATGAGCGCCTGGAGGCAATTCGTTTCTATTACAGAGAGAGAGTTTGTGCACGGCCTACAGCCATGGAGGCTCGTACTACAGACTGGGTGGCAGCGGCAGAAACTGGGGAAGTGGTTCATTCAAGTCTGGAGAAGGGATTCTGGTGCATCAACAAGGAACAGCCACATGGTCGCGTTTGTTCTAACTACCATGTTCGCTTCCAGTGCCCCCCAGGTAGAGCCGATTACAGCAGCCCAGGGCTGCGGAAGCCTTTTCTTCACAGAAATGAATATTTAGTCAAAAACTAAACAAATATTAAACATTGTAAACATTGGTGCACAGCTACATCTTTCAAGATTAGAATGTCCCTCTGTCCTCTGTAATATGTTTTTAGTGCAGAGCTATTGGACTGAATGGAGTGAGTGGGGCCCCTGTTCAACCACAGTTTGTAATGACGTGGGTGTCCAAGTCCGCCGAAGGAAATGTGTGAGCGCACAGCCCATGCCTCTGCTGTTGGTGCCAGCATGTCAGGGGCACCATTCAGAGAGAAGAGAGTGCACCACCCCACCATGTACAGGTAACAGCCAAAAATCAATCACCACCAAATTTCGGACAGGACCCTAAGCTAGTGTAGAGAATATGGTCTTTGAACTACACATAAACTATTTTAATCAACAAAGTGATTCATAATGTCCCTTTTTATTGGTGAATTCCCCAAAACATTCCTTTTAAACCATTCAGTACACTGTAAAAAAAATGCAGTAGAAAAACGGAAAATGTCCTGGTAATTTTCTGCCAGTACATTTTCTGATTTTTTTACGGAAGTTTGACAGACTTTTCTGTAAATGATAAAACGGAAAATTCTGTAGATTTATAGTATACTCTCTGTACCATTTACGGACATTTCCTTCAGCTATAAAATGGAAAATTCCATTTATTCACAGTATATTTTCTGTATCATTAATTTATGTTTTCCATTAATAGCAACAGTCTTATTGATTGAAGCTGTTTCAGTAAAGTTCTAAATGCAGCTAAATCCTTTAGAAATCCTATAGTCAGCACAAGGGAGTTAACAATCCATTTGATAGAATGATTCACTGAAACTCCCTTCCGTTGTGTCTTTTTGTAGCTAAATGGAGTCCATGGGGTCCCTGGGGGTCATGTTCAGTGACCTGTGGTGGAGGTCGCAGGATTAGGAGAAGGACTTGCGTAAGGACTTCAGCGACAGTGCAGTGTGTGGGACGGCCTGTTGAAATCCAGAAATGTGGAAAGACTCCATGCCCAGGTATGCAAAGCCACACTGCATTTAGCTGTAGTGAGGCATTTCTTTACTTTGGTGTCTTGATCAGTATCTGCTAACATCTCAACGCTTTCTTTACAAAAGCCAAATGCCAGTATGTGTGCACTGAAGGCCATCCCAGTGAAGACTGCAGTCACTGCGTGTGCAAAGGCCACATCCTACATGGTGATATCCACAGTGTGACCGGTGTCCCTGTGGCAGGAGCCTTTGTGTCACTAGCCAGCCATCCCAAGGTCATCCGTGCCCGTACAGATGCTATGGGTCACTTTAAGCTCCTAGGAATCTGCTCTTCCAGCCCAACTTTAATCACCATCAGGAAGGAGAAATTTGCCCCTATCACTGTGTCCACTTCCAGTAACACCACAGGCATGTCCTGGGTCCGGGCTATTCTTAGATCAGCTGGTAAGTGCAGATAAATGAAAGAAAAGTGATTACATATTTTGGGTTGTTCTTAAAATAGGTATTATTACAAGACTAGCATTATTATTATTCCACATAGTCTACAGATCCTTCAATCATATTCTCAGACGACTGAAAACAGGAAATTGACAGCTCTACAACATAAACAGTTTGGACTATTGTGAGACTTTACATAGCTTTGAGCAGTGACTTGGTTGCATGGAAACCAAATAAAAATAGACTTGAGCTGCTTTCGAAAAGGCAATTCCCTCAACAATCATTTTTCACAAGCTCAGAGACCGACGGGCAAATAAAGTGTAATATTTGAATTTTATGAGCTCTCTATGACCTGCGGCACCATTCACAACAATCAGAGTAAAGTCTTGATGATTTGCTCCTTTCTGCTTTCCACAGAAAAGCCGTACATTGTGAAGCACCCAGAGGATAAAGTGCGTTACGAGGGAGGACGGGTGCTGTTGTGCTGCAAGGCAGCAGGATCACCAACACCTGACAAATACTACTGGTGAGATGAACATCATTGTTGGCACACTCTCATAGAATAACACTCAAAAAATAGCTACAGTCCTTCCTACACTTATGAAATGTATAGCTTTTAAGTTACAGGTTATAAAACTAAAACATAAGCTCTATAAGCTAAAGTCATCTGATAAATCTTCCTATGAAAGTCATTGTACAGTCATTGTTAGCATAACTCATCAAAATAAGTATAACTGGTGGCATATTTGCTAACATTTTAGATATAATTTTAAATATAATTGCTTAGCTGATTAAAGTTAAATAAACATTCCACAATGGTAAATGGTAAATGGCCTGCATTTGTATAGCACTTTACTCAGTCCCTAAGGACCTGAAAGCGCTTTACACTACATTCAGTCATTCACCCATTCACACACACATTCACACACTGGCAATGGCAAGCTACATTGTAGCCACAGCTGCCCTGGGGCGCACTGACAGAGGCGAGGCTGCCGGACACTGGCGCCACCGGGCCCTCTGACCACCACCAGTAGGCAAACATGGGGTTAGTATCTTGCCCAAGGATATTTGGCATGCAGCCAGGAGGCAGCCTGGGATCGAACCACCGACCTTCTGATTAGTGGCTGACAATAATGTAAAAAAGTAAAGTGAAGAACAAATCACTCTCTCTGTTTCTTTCTTTGTGTCTGTTTATCAAGGTATCACAATGGGACTCTGCTGGACAGGAAGGTATACAAGTATGAAGAGGAGCTTGTACTGCGACATCTGAAGCCAGAGCAGTCGGGACAGTATTACTGTAAAGCCAGCAGCCCTGCAGGAAGCATCAAGTCCTCCCCCGCCTTCCTTACTGTAATTGGTATGTGTAGCACCAAACAAGAATGGCAGAAACAAAGAAACCACTTCCTCTGCCAGAGCTAATGCCCCATTTAGTTTTTTGTAAGTGAAGATGCTGATCTGGATTGGCACCAATAAGTTTTTTCCCTTGCCCATGCACCACCTCCGCACCAAGTTTATGAAATGCAGACTAGTAGTATGTATGTAGTCCTGCTAAGAGAATGACAGATGTGTGACCCTTGGAAAAAGTTATATAGTGTATTTACATGTACTGCATGCAAAGCACTGAATACCAGTGTTTTTTCTGTTTCAAGGTTGTTCTTTAAGTAAAAATAGTAAAGTTCTAGTAAAATGTAATTAATCTTCATCAGACTGAGAAGAAATAATTTGCTATGATGATAGAAAGCGGCACACAGGGATTATTCCTCAGGATGGCTACCACCCGAGTGCATTTGACAATGACGTATTTAGTCAATGTCTTGTACTGGTTCAAGTATAACCACTGACAAAAAGCAAACAACCGCAACTCTACTGTATAAAGAGCAGCTGCCTCAGAGATTGAATACACAGTTAAAGAGGAATGTCAGTGCTGAGCTCAAACCAAGTCATCCATGAGCCATGTCTACGCATTAAGAGGAATCAAACAAAACCACAGTGGCTTACAACTGAAAGAGAGGAGAAAGCCAGTTAATAAACTATCTTTCATTTAAAAAAAAAACCAACATGGGAAAATGAAAAATATCAGTCTTACGATCTGGCAGAGCCTGGAGGAATAGATTTTTATTGTGTTTACATTGGTTGAAACTACAGCTTTCTAAACAGCGATTCTTTATTGTGTGAGAGGGCTCTGGACACTGTAAAACCTCAAACCCAATTTTTCCAGAACACCCAGTGTTGAGATGAAACCCAAGATTGTCAATAAATTATGTTTCTTTTCTCTCTCAGACTCAGACAAGTATGTCTTTCCACATCCATGTGGGAGAACCCCACATACACAGCTTATATTCTCCAGGTGCTTGTTAGTTAAGACACAGATTAACAAACAGGCTTTTCATGGAACAGTGCTAAAGCAATCAATTCTAGGCAACAGACAAATCCCTGTACTCCAAAAGTCATTATGGCTGGAGAGACTTTATGTGTGCAGAACAACACCTGCACCTCAGAGCGGGATGATAAACATGCCTTCATCCCAATAGTTTCTTTTCCCCTTACACATAATGCAGAAGTTTAATTTGAATAACACAATATGTTTACAGCTGTTCAGGAGGTTATATGTTTTATAATTCATGATCAAAGGAAACTTGCAAAACAATACAGCAATCTACAAATCAAACTGCTTCATGTGTTTGCAGTTATTGACTTATGTGGGAGATGGTGAGCTTGACAGGGATACTTAACTACAAACAGCCATGATATCCTGCATACTAATTATGCTGCCAGTGGGTTGTTGAACAATTGGTCGTTCCTTCCAGTTCCCAGTTGGATGGTTGGTGAAGAAACCTTTTCTTAAGCTTGAAGTCTAATTACCATTTTATGCATATTTCACAATCCAACTTGGCCACTTAAATGCACTTTCAGGTCATGCAGACCTTGGACGTTTGTGTGTACTGTGTTTTTAATGTGAGCATCCATGTGTGAAAAATAAAGGTATAAATATTTTTATACATTCCACCAGCAAGTTCTAACTATTCTCTATACCTGTTCCACATTATGCTTATATATCAATATGCAATTACCCTCAAACCAGCAATTTTATTTTAATGCTAGATTGTATATTTGACAAACTTTCAAGAGCAGATACAGCAAAGCAAATAGAACATGAACTGCCCTGTTTTTAATATGTTAACTCTGCATTTACTTCCGAAACACCATCAAAATCACATTACACAGCAGTCAACTTAAAATTTATGGCAATATTTCTTTCATGATGATGAAAGAACAAAAGCTTAATGTCATTTATTGTCTATTTCACAGACAAAGGAGCACCAGCATGCAATTCTACCCCTGAAACACATCTCATCAGGCTACCCACAGACTGTGTTCAACCCGGGACTGACTCCAAGTACTACAATGCTGGCCGCTGTCCTCACAACAAATGTGCTGGTTCCCTAGATTTTGATATGGGCTGCAGAGATGGAGCTGGATTCTGTTGTGGTGTTAAAAATATGGAAAGCAGAATTATTGACTGTGGTAGCTACAGCCTCCCCATCCGTGCTGTGATACAGTGCGGTTGTCAGAAGTGTGTGCAGCCAACTGTGCTGGTTCGAGGTCGAGTAGTCACAGCTGACAATAATGAGCCTCTGCGTTTTGGGCACATCTACATTGGTAAAGAGAGAGTGGGTACCACTGGATACCAAGGAGGCTTCACATTAAGAATCACCCCTGACACACAGAGATTAGTTGTAAATTTTGTTGATCCTAGTCAAAAGTTTATTGACACGCCCAAGGTGTTCATCTTTGACAAGAAAAGTGGATCTATTTACCACGATGTGAAAGTGATGAGAAAACAAACACCAATTGATATCAATGCAGGAGAGACCAATGTTATTAGCCTTGGAGAAATTAAAGATGAAGACCCCATAGGGCAGTTGGTTATTCCTCCTAATTCTTTTCATAAGGACAATGGAGAAATCTACGAAGGAACTGTCAAAGCCAGTGTCACATTCATTGACCCAAGAAACATCACTACTGCAGCAGCTGCCCCTGGCGACCTTAACTTTGTGGATGATGAAGGTGACATGCTTCCTTTAAGGACCTATGGCATGTTTTCTGTAGACTTCAGAGATGACTCCAACAAGGAGATACTTGGAGCTGGCGCTGTCCAAGTCCTCCTTGACACACAGCACGTCAAAATGCAAGAACATATTCCCCAGATGAAACTGTGGTCTTTAAATCCCGACACAGGAGTCTGGGAAGAGGAGAGCGACTTTTCTTACAGCACAACAACTACTGGTGGTCATGGAAGGAGCAAGCGCGAGGAGCGCACATTCCTCATAGGCAACATGGAAATCAGAGAACGCAGACTTTTCAATTTAGACGTACCTGAAAATAGACGCTGCTATGTCAAAGTTCGTGCCTACATGAGTGACAAGTTCCTACCTACTGAACAGCTGGAGGGTATCGTGATTAGCTTGATAAACTTGGAGCCCAAGCCTGGTTATTCTTCTAATCCCAGGGCATGGGGCCGCTTTGACAGTGTCATAACAGGACCTAATGGGGCCTGTTTACCAGCTTTCTGTGATGCCCAGAAGCCTGATGCTTACACAGCTTATGTCACAGCAATGCTGGGTGGGGAGGAACTAGAGGCAGCTCCTTCCTCCCCAAAGATGAATCCAAACATCATTGGAGTCTCTCAGCCCTATCTAGATAAAATAGACTACCAGCGTTCAGACCATGATGATCCAGCATTAAAGAAAACTGCCTTCAAAATCAATTTGCCAAAGCCTAACCAAAACAATTTTGATGAGACCAATGGGCCAATATATCCATATCAGAATTTAATAGCTTGTGAAAATGCCCCTGTTGATGCTAATCATTTCAGGTTTTTTAGAGTAGAAAAGGACAAGTATGAATACAACGTTGTTCCCTTTGAGGAGAATGATTTGACAACCTGGACAGGAGATTACCTGTCCTGGTGGCCTAACCCCCAAGAGTTTAGAGCATGCTTCATCAAGATCAAAATTCTTGGACAGAAAGAAGTCATGGTCAGGTCAAGGAATCTGGGAGGAACACACCGAGAGACAAAGGGCCAGCTTTATGGAATTAGAGACATTCGCAGCACTCGGGATATGCGAGAGTCCAATACCTCAGCAGCATGTGTAGAGTTCAAATGCAGTGGCATGTTATTTGACCAAGCTGAGGTGGACCGGTCCCTCATATCAATCCTTCCACAAGGTAACTGCCGCAGGATCAACACCAACAACCTCCTACAAGAGTATCTCATTAAACATCCACCAGTGGCTCAAAACAATGAGTCTCATGCTTTCACCATGTTAGCACCCGTTGACCCTTTGGGACACAACTATGGTATCTACACAGTCACAGACCAGAACCCTAGAGTGGCCAAAGAGATCGCTATTGGGCGCTGCTTCGATGGCACCTCAGATGGTTTCTCCAGAGAGATGAAGTCAGACTCTGGAGTTGCACTTACCTTCAGTTGTCCAGAGAGGAAAATCAACAGGGAAAGCCTTTTCCAGCGTCTGCAGACCAACCCAGGTCAAACTTTGTCTCAGATGGCGAGGGACATGAGAGAGTTAGATGGTCTGCAGATGAGGAGATCATCCACCCAGGTAGTCGCTTATCCTTCAGAGCAACGGGGTAGGACCCAGAATCGCAGAGTCACCTCAACCACCAGAAGAAGAGTATCTACACGCATTCAGTAATGCCAACAGAAGTGATAAAAAGTAGGTTGAAATAATATAATTTGATCAGTGTTTACACTAGCAATCACATCAAAATGATATATCTATAATAATCTTTTCTTTATATTGTTAGGTCTTCAGTTGAGAGTCATATGATGGCATCAAGTTCAGAAGATTGTCTGTCTGCTGATGAGTGTGAATCCCCCCTTTACTATGAAAATCACAAACCCGAGACAGACATCAATTTAGAAAACTCATTAGGTCTGACGTTTAATCGAAGAATTTGGTATATTAATTTCTCCCATCCACGGTAAAAGACAAGTATCATTTGTTTTTATGTAACTTGGTGACCGGCTTTTATTGACTTTGCTCTCATTTTATGAATGAATACACTAAATTGAGGGTTGAAATTGGAACTTTTATAGAGCTAATTTGTGGCATTCCACTTCCATAGTGGGTGTTTTTGCTGACATATCTTGATGCTTGACCCAAAACCAGAAATTTAAAAACTATAAATACTATGGTAGACCCCAAACACTTGGTAATTGGCCATAGCTTTCCACTGAACTCATGCTTTTCCTCAAGATCAGAGAGAAACCAACGTGAGGTCCTTGTTGTCTGAAGCAGACACTGAGCCCTTATTATACAAACTCAGAAACTCTCCATGAAGTGGAGGAACATGCAAAAAAGACAGTGGGGTGAAGCATGCCACCCAGTGTACAGAGAATCTTTTCAGCCATGCTTCTCAGTGTTTTTCATTAGTGTACCATATTGCCAACTGTGATTCAGACAGACGTTCTTCCACACTTACTTAAAATGTGGAAGACTGAGGTTGTCGTCATGACAAGCAAGGACCTTACTCTAGACTGGCGCTTCAAAATAACGATAATTGTTTTTGGAAGCATGACATGATTTCCTTCCCCCCCTCTGCACATTCCACATTAGAACATCACCAAACAAAGTGTTACTTATAATAATCTATTCCTCAATACTTTCATTCTCAGCAAGAAGCTCTTTCAGGGTCTAAATGAACTTTGTTTTTGTTCTAGGGCAAAGTGTTTATGAGCTGCCTTTATATCTTGAAGTGCAATAAATATCATTAAACTTGAGAATGAATAAAATTCAGCATGTTTCAAACTATAACAGTTCATGAAAAGTGCTGCTGGTGAATTAAATAAGTTTTTCATGTTGCATGTTGTGTGGCTAAGGTATTTGTACCTTGCACAAGAAGCTTGTTGTTGATTTAGTTGTGTGATTTTCAGCCAATAACTGAAGTTGTGTTGTGCAACTCTTTGACTCTCTGAGTCACTGTTTTTTTTTTTTTTTCATTCTTTGTAGCATGAATCTGCTGACTTTACAATAATCTTTTTGGCTTCAGTTTGCAATCTTGTTAGTAGGACAAAAAAACTCCATTGTCATTTCTTAATTAACAAAACATGATTTCTTAAGCATGAGAATTCAGAAGAAACACAACTTGTGTTTACAAGTCAGGTTTTTATTAAGCTGTGTAAAAGTATGAGTAGCAATACAAATAAATGTAGACTATAACGCCATATGAATATGGAAATAGACACATGAATTGAGTTTTTGGCTACTTTAACTGAACTAAGTAATAGGCATGGAGTTTACTCAGTGATTAAATCTATTGTTTATCTGCAGTATGGGGTTTTGCAGACCCATGGGAGAAACCCTTCGAGCTGAACTAATCCCAAAATGAATAAGGTGCACTATGGACCTTGGAGAAACCAGAAGAGGCTGACAAGTAAATATAAGCCTGCTGCTAATTAGAAAATAAATTACATATTCTCTTGAGAACTGTAAAAACAGTTTGACTTTCACAAACAACCAAATTGAACTTAAGCAATCAGCAATAAATTGGGCACAAGAGTATTATGGACACATATTTCCTTTGAAATTGCTACCGAGCTCTCTGCACATTTAACATTTGAAGATGTCTTTTTTTTCTCAGTTCATTTGTGCTGTTATATTTTTAGTTCTGATGTGCAACAGATTTATCATTTAATATGCTGTAAATGGTATCATTTCAAACTTATAAATCTTTCTATGTGGAGCACATAACAGCACTCCAAACATAGATCTATAGCTTGGCAGCCTGTGCAAACTTCAGAATTATCATTGACCTCTCTAATCACAGGCCTGTGGGCTGTGTGTGAACGAACAGTTCAGATGTCCAGTTGGAAACAAACATGTCCCAGCAGCAGATACAGCTTCCACCCCGTAAGAAAGATGATGATTGAATCCAGGTGTAGGAAGAGATAAGTCCTATAAAATGCAATAGTTTGTGAGGTCAGCTGAAGGGGCCAAACAGATGTAGAGCAACTAAAGGAAATGTTAGACCAAAGACATCAGAAGGAAGAGAAGCAAGATTATCTAGTGATGGGTTTAATCATTTCAGGGTACGGTTTGAAAAAGAAAAAAGGGAAGGGAAAATATTAGTGGTCTTTGGCCTCATAGCCCATCACTTACAGAATCTTGAGCTTTGAAAGTGGTTGCACATGGAAGAATGCAGATTTTCTTCAGGGAATGCTTTGACAGGAGAATTGGCTTATTCATGAGAAGAAGTTATCAGGAGAGCTTGAAGGACAAGGTAACAATAATAGCCTGAGTAAACCATTATGTAAGGCTTTGCATGGAAAAATAAGCTGTGCTCTCCAAACAGCCACTTTGTCTTTAGGGAACTTCAAAGGAGATTAAAGAACCTCTGCAATGTTTGGTTTAATCGCTCAAGAAAAAGTTTCCAGATACTTTAAAATCAAATAAAGACAGTTTGAGCCTGAAACCAACAGATAAAAGAAGATGAAAATATTCCTTTTTTAATTAAAAGAAACTGTTTATCTTGACTCGTTGGCAGTAGTAGTGGCAAACCTTTTACTTTATTTAGTGTCAGAATCATGAATATGATTTATGTATTTGTGTTTTAAACTTCTAAATAAATTGTTTGACATTTGGAGTTAGCTGGGTACTGGCTGTATTTTTTTTAATGAACCCACTGATGTAAGGGTATCATCACTATTCTCATCTCCAAACTCTGGCAAGGAGGAGAATGAGCGTTTTTCCCAAAACGGGGAACTAATGTCTAAAGCATACTATTGGTATAGTTACAGCTTTGCAGAATTCTTGAATGGTAGAAAATTGGATATTTTCAAGTGTATTTCAATCCATCTGGCAAAATTTGAGGTTTTTTGTGGCAACTGATATTCGAAAAAAAAAAAAAAGAATCTAAGGAGTGGATTTCTATTCAAAATACTTGACCTGAGTTTGCCTCTGTCACTGAAATGTTTCTGCAGAAAAGCACAAGTCTCTGAATCCACCAGAAACCATCTACAATTTATCAGAAACTTAAGCGTAAACAGACATATCCATTTTCTCTTCTGTATAGTCCAGCAGGGTCTCAGGGAGATCATAATTTATTCACAAGACGGTCAGCCTTACACCCTTCCACCGCTTTCTGGAGGACAGAGAGTTGCATACTTGCCACTGCACCCCAGGAAGCAATCCTGAGTAGTAAAAGAATTACATAAATCAGCTCTTGATAATAGTCTGTACTGCTAACTATTGCATGGAGATGCTGAATGCTTTGTTTCTCTCTGAATTAGGTCTTTATGTGTAAATTGTGTATTGTATTAAATTTGGTATAAATGTACGAACGAACAAGTGTAAATAAATGATTTTGTGTAAACATTTTGTTTGATGTTGTCCTCTGAACTGTGTGTAAGTTTAACAAATGAACAGTTTAAAAATTGGAAAAAGTTTATTTAACATGCACATATATTTTTAATAAATAAAATGCATAGATCTAGTTTTACTTTTTCCATCTTACAACAATAAACAAAGTTTACAACAAACATGATACTGATGATACTAACTTACAACAGAGGGGTGAATTTAAATGCATTGGTGTATGCAGTCCCAGAGACATACACTAGAAATACAAAAGAATATAAAATACATTTTAGGAAACATAACAACATTCTGATGAGAATCCCAATTTTCCCAATGTGCCTCAAGCGTCTCAAAACATTCCTGCGGAATCTCAAACCGTTACTTTGACTTTTCTACTGACACAAAATAGCCGTATCTCCACTTTGTTTGCACATTACCCTTCAGGTGATGAAATGTAAGACAACACAGCGAGACATCTGGTGCACATAACATTTTTAACCAGTGGAATTATTATTGTAATAAAGTTGCACAACAGGGAGCACAGTAGGGAGGAAAACTGGAGTGTTGAGCCACACTGTCATTGACACCTTCGTGACGGGGTTCTGTGTGTCTGCCAGAAAACGAAGCTGACAGAAAATATAGTGAGTGACTGCTCTCACCACGAAGAAAAAAAAACAACACACTGGCATCACTGCTCACACTCACACACGCACAGCTAGGAAAACACATTTTTCTTAAGTCAGTGGTGCATTTCAGGTCGTGAACCTTCCTCCGGCGCCTTACTAACCGTTCCTCGTAAATCCCACAGCGTCAGTAACAGACAAACCTGTCTGTGCAGAAGACAGGAATGAAGAGAAATGCTGATGGAAACGTGTTAGCTGTGGAATTGCCACCAACTGTAACCACAGTGTCCTTGATGTGTTTTCTATTTGCTTAAACTCTAATTGGGTTAAAAAAAAGTTTTGCAAATAAATCCTGGAAGAGAGTTTCTTCCTATGTGACATTGCTTCAAGGGCACAACTAAACAAGTCTGCCTCTCAAGTCTGGAATAATAGGAAATATAGTAAACCATGAAATAAAATGACACTTAGATGCAAAATGTGGGCTTTACTAAAGGAGACCTGTACTGGTTATTCGAAAACGCTAACATGCAAAATATGATGATTCTTTTCAAGAAATCAAGACGATGGTGTTCAGTTTTTACTCATTTTTACTCTTTATTTTATCAATTTTAATTGAATTAAAAACTCATTTTGGATACTCCTATTGCCTCTGTGATTCGAAAACCAAACTGTCAGTCTGCTGACTTAGCATCTTGGCGCAATAACCGTTTTTTCAGGACTTGCAGTACAGCCAGTGGATATCCAGGTCTGGATATCTGTTAACAAAGCAAATATAAAATTAAACTATCATCAGACAAGATTGCAGTTTGGCGAATGCGTTCCTGTTTTTGCTCCCCACATGGATTTCTTTATTTGCGTGTAACCGAAGCCTGCTCAAATGCGATTGGTCAACAGAACTCGGATTACAAGTGGATTGTAAACGGAAAAAAAATCTGTTCGGAGTTTTGGTAATTTATATTTGAATTATAAACAGCATTTGGAAGGATTTTCAGTTTCTTCAAACAGATTTGTTTTTGCTTGCTAGTGCATATCAGTGCAACAAGGCAGAGAGGCTGAGAGCTTGAGAACTGAGATGAAAAATGGTGAGATCCACTCCAATTACAGGGTTTTGATCAACAATGAAATGGAAAGTGCAAATGGCTCAAATCTGAAGTCAAAAAACTAAAGTGCACATCAAATTTACTCTGCAATATTTCCACTAAAAATCACGATATTTTCTTTTTAAGGAAGAAAAAAAAAATGAAACTGCATAAATCCACTACCTTTATCTTGCATCTATTGTGTTATCAAAAATCAACAATAACCTGCTGATTCTGCAGGTTAAGTGCCTGCGCATGGTTCTCCATCTCGAATGCCAGCAGCAAGAAAAACGCAAGAAACTCTCCTGGATTTGGTCCTGAGAATACAGCAATCCAAGAGAAACAAAACTGAGAAAATGAGAGATAATGTCTTTGGACGGCTTGGGTTTGTGGAATAAGTCTCAAAACAAACTACATTAGGTTCATTACACAAGTCTAACAAATGGACAGGAGGACAAAGCACCTGCTCTGAGGTAGATCAGCTTTTCCGATCTGGAAGAAAAGGCTGTAAGGACAGATGACTTCTGTGCTTCACATAAACATTTCCATCCTCCAGCTTGACTTCATACACTTGTTGCTGCAAAAAAAGTAAACAAAGAAAAAGAAACAGAAGTTAGAACAAAACACAACTCCCTAAGCTACTTTAGGAGTAACCTTCCAAGTCAAAAAAAACCCTGCCTGTCACAACACACAGTTTGATGTTGTTTAGTCTAACATTTGACATGAGTGACATAAAGTGATGTATATTTAAATCATATGTGGAAAACGATGAATATAAAAGAGGATAAAATGTCAAGCTTGATTTTTTTCATTGGAACAAAACAAAACAGAAGATCTCAAGCTGAACATCACCTTAACTCTATCTGACGAGCTTTGATTTTTATGTCCTGTCTATCAAAAACATGCCATCTGTCTAAGATTAGAGGATAATTGATGTGAATGCATCAAGTCTTAGCATCAGCTTTTAGTAAATGTAAAAAACCTGATATACATTCAGGTGCCTAAATTTACTGCTCCTACATGCAAGTTAAATAAAGTGATTAATCAACACTCCTTATAAAAAGCGTTTCTGGTGTAAAACTAAAGCAGCATTATCAGGACACACTTTATTACTGACCTGTAGTGATGTCCCTGACTTCCCAGTCCTGAGATCAAAGTTATAATCATGCCAGGGACAGAAGACCTGCAGGACTCCGTCAGCCTCCTCAATGTCCCCCTCACACAGAGGACCGCCTGGATTTCCACACGGGAAACTGTTAATAACCGTTTATTCTCATAACAATCCCTGCTGCCATCTTTATTCTAGAAAAATGCGATGCTTTCATAACACTAAAACTTAAGACAGCAGGGGGCATGATGCTATTTCCCCTCTCAGCCTTCTCTTATTTTAACAGTTAATCACCCACAGAGACATTTTCAATAGGCTGCATATAAAAACGCGACGTGACGCGTTTGCAATGTTATACATATAACTGCGCTCTAGTCTCGCGTTTTAAAGGCCCTGCTAAAGCTAAATCTAAGCGGGTATAAATGTGTTTTTGTTTTTGTTGTTTTTACCGGAGTGTGAACAGCGAGCATCCATTGCGAAAAACTCCCCCTTCACATAGAAGAGGCAGACATCGGAACCATAGCCGAGAGAGGAGTGCATTAAACGGCAGCGCTTCTTGGAAAGCTCCGAGGCAGGGCCTATGAGTCTCCATGAAACGCCCCCCGTGTTTCCCTTTTCATCTCCGGAGCCAGAAGCCATAAAGAACGGCGAAATGACCTGTTTTTCTATTTTGCACTACTACAGGCCTCCCTTTTTCCGCCGGTGCAAATGGATTTGACAGATCGCTCTGTGCAAATATTCCATATTAACCACCAGACCGACTGGTACAACGCTCATCCGATCGCACTGACCTGCTACCATCCCTGCTGCAGCCTGCCAGCAAACCGCGGGACGCCGTCAAAAAAAGGAGACAGCACAGCGCACAAACACAGAGCTACATATGAATATGACTGTAGCCTAAATGATGAATGAGCAGAAAAGTTAGCCTAGGCTACTCGAAATCTGCTAAAGCTGTGCAGGCTATCCGTTAGAACTGCAGATGCTCTAAAAATAACAGCAGCAGCAGCAGCAGCTATTGGAGTTTAAAATGCAGATGCAGAAATCCATCACAAATGCATCTGTTGCATTATGAATGGACGGTGATCAGAACCTTAATGTTCTTTGATTACAGTCTGTAACATCAGGTCGCTCTTTTTTTAGTCTTTTATATTCAAACAATGCACACACAAAGAAAAAAAAATCCCATTATGGAAGCTTTCTTGGTGGTCCATTGAGTTAATTGGAAAACTTAAATTTAGCCTACCAAGTATTGGACATCTTCCAAAGGAGTGTGCTAAATGTGGAACATTAGTTTTTATGTACTGTGCAAATAGTTCGAAATAATTTCTGTTATTTGGTACAAAGCAGGTTATTGTTCCTTCACTGCACATTCCATACTGTGCTCCAGACAGGTATTTCTACTGATTATTTTCAGGTTAACTTTTTCCACGGTGCAATTTTCTTAACTGTTATGTCAGTTCTGTGATCTTGCGGCAGCAAACAAAGAACATATACAATTTAACCAAATAAAGACATTAAAACACATATAGAACAACTTTGGTCTGTCAGTTTAACCACACTGACAACCATCGTGTGAGTCCACATCAGCCATCTGTCTTTGATCAAAGTTAAAGGGCTCATGATTAACACTATGTACAAAGCTGACCTTTAGAGTAGTACCAAATTTGAGGTTTCTGTGATCTACAAATTTGTTCAAATGATAATGTGCAAAAAGCAAAAACGCACACATTAAATGATAACCTGCATTTTTTAAAAACTATTATTCAAATTGTTTTAAATCACTTTATTGAGCCAGTAATTATGCAGGTGGTAGTTTTGCCTTTAAGTAATGTGCCGTAGTGTCTAGACTGGAGTGATGCAAAACAGAGGCCACTTGTTCTGAATCGTGATTTTGCGAAACTGACTCATGTAAGTGCGCAACACGAGTGAAGAGCAGAATAGCAATATTGTGAAAATGTGTCAGGGACAGGAAGAACTAATGGAACTGCATCTTGTCAAGAGTTGGTGCTCTGCGAATGTAGATGCAAAGCAAGGGAGAGCCAATGCAAAGAAATTTGAGCTAAACTGCGCATGGAATGTGCCTGAAGTCACGATTCACCTCATTCTCCTTGCAGTTTAATATTTAAAAATATTACCAGCTGCCATTTATGAACAACTGTCAGTGTTTCTTCAGCCGAGTCACATCACCAGTTAGATTTTGTGTGCAGCCGTACTGAAAGATAAAGTTTGAGATTCCGTGTCAAGCAAACTTTCTGAATGCTTGCTCCTAAGAAATTGCTACGTTGTCCTCTAGATTACTGTAAAATCTGTACCTTTGATATATGCCTGGACCAACTGTGTATATGCAGTGCAAATAAAAAAATATCTCAGACATATTTACGCTGAATATTAGAAAGAGCAGTTGCCACCAGCAACTGCTGCTGGTATTACAACACACCTGTCACTCAAAGTAGAGACATTTCAAGCCTTAATAAAGTTTAAATTATTAAATTATGTATATATAAACAAAAATGAAACATCTGTATAATTATTATAAAGCGGGAAATGAGCCATTGAGAACAAATTCTTTTTGTGTGTGTTTGTGAAAGCTGTAAATTTCATACTTTAACATAGGATCCCGTAGGCTTTTACCATAGGCATTACAAAAGATGGAAATGAAGTCAGTGTGCCTTAAAGACCTGCATCTTATCTCAAGGCCAGCAGATGGCGATAGTTATGGTTGCAAAAGACTAGGTCCTACAGAACACTGTGGAAAAACGGCTTTCGCTATTGACCTGTAAACACTTTCCTGGTGGGTTTATGGATTTAATCAGTCATTTTTTGTCATAGTGAATACAAAAAATTCTGTTTATTTTGTAAATATGGGTCAATTATTTTCAAAAAGGAGAATTATCCAGGGAATGCTCACTGGGTAGAGGCTTATTGTTTGAGTAACTATTGACAACACATTAGGCGGTACGCGAGCACTTTCACAATCAGACCTCCCCCTCCTCATTGTTTTTTTTTTTTTTTTTTTTTTTTTTAAACTGAGAACCGTCACCAAGATGTTAGCATTGCAGAGGAACATAGTCGGAAAATCACTAAATTGCACTCCATCCAGCACAGTGCTATATATTGCCAACCAAGTCTAATTGCACTGTGTGAGTGGTGGTAGCTTCTACACTTTGCCTACTTCTACCTCTCTCTACACAACTGCTTGCCTATCGACAAGATGTTAGGTCAATGTCACCTCTGCTTCACCAATGTGTTTTGTTTTTCTGTGCAACACAGCCAAAACTTTTATACTGTCTGTTGGTTTTTTGCCTTCTTTTGGAACCAGCCTTTTTTTGGTCAACTGTATAGACAACTGTAGCTTTTTGGCATTTCTTAATGAATTAATTTTCTTTTTCATTGCCACTTTATGTTTAAAAGTGTATTATAGCTCTAAATTACATCTGTTTCTTTTTGTGACAGAATAGAATCATCCAGACACTACACTACAGTGCACAGCCTTTGCATGTGCTCCTCAGGAAGACTTTAAAGGACTATAACAGTTCTGACCGCTCATTCATTGTTTCTGCAGATGTCTGTATTCATGAGCATGACTGAGTATAAGCTCCACCTTTGCAGGAAAATTTAGAACAACAAGGGTGCAATATTATATGGCAAAGGTAGCATTTATATATTAAAAAAAGAGATTATTACCATTATAAACCATTCTGTACAACTTTCTAGCTGTGAACTATAAAAACTTTGTAAATAGGCTAGATAGATTACACGTGAGGGAAGAGATGGGATAATTCTCATAAGTCTTCACAGTCTGAAATAAAATGGATGGAGAGTGTTCTTTGATTCTTTTTTCTCAATATCACTTGCAGAGACATTTGGTTTCCCCTTCTCTGCAAATTAAACTATAATTTAGACAAATGCAATATTTGTGTGCCATGTTTAAACTACAGCTCATCGAGGAAGTAGGATATCACAGTGTATGATACTCTGTTATTCAGTCTGGCAGAAGACCAATTTATCTAAGCATGACTAATTAATCACTTCCACATGAAAACTACTGAACATGAAAAATTAAAACAGCATCACAGCTACAAGTTAATTTAACTTTGGGGATTGTCTAACAGTGAATCATAGCAGCATTTGTCTGGAAATACCCAACTTAAAACAAAAAAACCCAAACCCAACATTAAAACACAGCTGGAAATAATTTGCCATGCTGATTACAGGTAGACTTGAGTTGTGCAGCCTCCACCTCATAGATTGGAAAATGACCAAAGGTGTTTATTTTCAACAGTGCTTCCAAGAATTACTTATTAAAAGGTTGGATTCCTAAGGTTATGTAATAGGTGGCAGAGGATTTCAGCCAAAAAAAAGCCACACAGTGAAGCGGGCAGTGTGCAGGTTTCAGGTGGCACTAACAAACTGACAGTCATAACCAACAGCTTTGCTTTGGTATGGAGAAAGGTGACAAAACATGCTGCGCTTATGTGGGGAATAAATTAAATAAGCTCCAAGTGATTTGAGTTTTTGGAGAGTAAAAAAATAACAATTATAGAAATGAAAATGATGTATTGTGGAAAGTCTGAATCAGTAGGCTGGATGGGCTTAATAAACAAAGCTGCAGACAGTGAGAAACAGGCCAAAATGATCGCAGGAGCATTCCACTGTCTATAAATTTCTTTGACTTCTCATTGCAGCACTTCGACCACTGGACAGTTTAACTATTTGCTTGGGGCAAAATTCGGTGTGGAGAAAGTCTGGCTCAGATGGGATTCTAGACTCAGAGTGGAGCCAAACCTCATCCATCATTAGCTTCATCTTGTCCACAACCCAGCACCCACCCTAGTCTAGTAACTCATCCGCCAAGGATGGATGGAAGACCAGCTCTCCAGCCAAGATGGTTTTCATTAGCTAAGCAAATGCTTAGCCCAAACCTAAAACACCACTCCCAGCTTTCTCTGCTCCTTATTTTAATAGAGCTTGTCATTCAAGTGTGCTTAAAGTGAGAACAGTGTCATTTCCTATAAAAAAAAAACTCCTAAAATTTACAGTATAGCTTTTTTTGTTTGTGATATCCCCTATAACTGTGCAACCATTCAAATGCAAATCCAGACTCAGCTCTGATCGTTAGTGGACAGGCAACTGAAACCAGAGCTGACGCTTCAGCCAAGTCTCAGTCTCTGACTCACAAACCCGCATTTCATCCTGTGTTGTCCCATTTTTTAATGAGGTATTTGGAGACTCTTTGCTTCCTTGCTGTTAATTAGATGAGAAGGTCAATACTGCTCTCATATGTGTAATTTAAATTTTAATCTACTACCAGCAAATTAGCTTAGTACAAAGGAAATGGGGAAAATGAGCCAGGCTGGATTGGTCTGGAGATATATCCTCCAGTCTACACTTGAGCTGGGGTGCATGCAGCTGAAGTCGTGGCTTGATTCACAACAAGCAGGTGGCAACAAAATAGTACAAAGTCACTGCTGGTCAAAAAAAAACAAAACGTCTGTCACATGATCTTAATGAGTTCAAAGCATGTTGGTGAATATTGTTACTTTCACTGTGAGTGAGGCTAACTGTTAAGCCTGTATCCAGTCTTTAACATTTTATGTTTATAGTTTTCATATTTGCAGTCTTTTAATTCATTATTTGTCCATTCATTTACCCCTTCTTAAAAAAGAAAATATGCATAATTTACAAACATGCAGTCACTGCTTCAGACTGATGATTGAATTAGAACTGGACTTTGTGTAAAAATTAAAGGCCTAAAATGATTCAAACACCAAGAAAGACAGAGCAAGAGAGCTCTGATCAGGGTGTAACACAGTCTTAAGTCCAAGAACAGTAAATAAAAAGAAAACAGCCTAAATGGTATTTGGAAAGAAGCCACTCAAATCCTGAAGTTAAAGCAGTTGGATATTGGATCCTTTTTCAAGAAGGAAATCCTCAGCTTGAGGGTTGTGATGAAGGCAGCTCTGCACTCTCTGCTCCAGATTTCATAAAGGTTTGATGATGTTTGAATAAGGTTACTGCGGAGGCCACATTCTTGTTCTTTGATTTGTGTAACAATCATTATGGGTGCATCAGGGTCTTGGAAAACAGGATCATAGTCAGGGAAAAGTGTTTTTTGCTGCACCTGGATTGGTATAACAGTCTCATTCTTTGGCTGTCGTATTACCACGCAGAGCCATAATCAGATTTAATGACACGAGATGGCTGCTCACGCCATTACAGATTTACAATATTAAACTGCTGGCGGCAGCTGATGCAGACTAAAGGCATCATTTGGTTTTACCCAAACATAAAGCTGCAGGAGG